CGCGTGGAGTGAGACAGGCCTGGTAAATCTAAGTTGGGTAGCAATTTTTCGTAGGAAGGCAATAGTAAGTGAAGTTCAAATGGGTTCAGAGCTTCCTGTAATGTAGTACTCATCATCATAACCATTACAGCCCTTCATAAGTTCACTGCTTAATAAAATCTTCTCTAAAGTAATACAATAAAACACGATCTGGAACTCTTCCATCCATCGACTTCCTACATGCCTTACGACATCACGTCATCATGTCAGCGGGGGCGGGGGCGTTTAGACGTAGTTTGCTACTAAAAAATCTTTCTTCCCTATCAGTTGTCGGTTTTTGAGCTTTAAAGCCGGCCCATCCGTTCGGACGAAATAAACAACATTTGCAATAAAGGAAACAGTGCTACGGGTGGAGTTACAATATAAGCCACATGTCTATTCTCTGTCCAATAAAATAGTTATTTGGTAATTGCCAGTAATTTAGTTGCTAGTTCGTAATAATGCGTTATCTGTTCTATTCCGAATTTGATGGAAATAATAAACGCAACATATCTTTACCTTAGATAATAAATTGATTAAATATACGCGTAATTAGGTTGAAACAAATTTTCATGCTGAAAAATAGGTCAGATATCAATTCAGTCAGACTTCCAGGGAGAAATTAATTCCTACCACTTTACGAAACACAAAATATATATTGAAAATTAGTCGATTGGTATGTGTAAGATCCTTAGATATTTGTAAAAGTAAAATTTACAGTCTATATACGTCCCTCTCCTGAGCCTCCTCACACTCATTTCCCATTGCGCACATTTCCTTGCATTGAGGATTTTTAGGGCAAGGAAATGTCCACCGTGCTGCCCTAATGCGTGATGGCGGACTTCACATGTCTTCGATATGTTTTTATTTAATGTCATAGACATGCATGTAGGTTTCCTCTCGAGCACGTGATAAAACAGCACTTACTCTTGCAACTAAATTTTTAACAGTGTCTCGCATCCTGTAAAATACATAACTTAGCTTCTGGGCTACCACGACTAGGGATCTGTAGATGTTTTATTAGTTAAATATCGAATTTTAAGCTTTTATGGAGACAATTTTTATTATTATATGAAGAATGGGCACACCACAAATAATAATTTAATTGTGGTGTGCGCGTAATTTATTGAAGTGAAGATCACAAAAGATTACAATACTAATATTAGTTTTAACAATAAAGCAAATACAAAGAGGAGACGGCATAAGCAACTGTGCACTGTGATTCTAAGTAGGTCCTGACGTATTCATAGTGGGCTTAGCTTTAGTAAATATACTGTCAGCATTCGTCCTGTGCGCTTATGTGTTGAAAATGGCAAATCGGTGTATTTTCATAGTATTAGGAAGACAAGGATGAATTTTATCGTGTAAAACCTACTCAGATAGACACTCTGATGCATGGCATGATGTATGGCATGACATTTCATTTGTAAGTAATTTTACACCTAATTTATTAAAACAGTTTTAGAAAAATCTCTTTGCGTTGGCTTTCAAATATTATTAAATATATTGGACACTATATAGCAATAATTTGTGTCATGTGAACCAAAAATATAAAGGACGTAGAGATCAGTATTGGTATAATAATCACACGGTGCTGAAATTTGTTTTGCATTCAGTCCTAAAGAGTTTTTAATCGCCGAAATATTATTTTTATAGTTTTTATAATCATTTTGTGAACAGGACGCTATCTATCGTCAAGGTAGCTAAACTACATTGCGACATAGATATGGAACGATTCGAGTAGTTTTACTATTTGTCGATAAATGTAGATAGTAAAGTGGGCGGGGCTTAACATCCCCTCACCCCGCAAATTGTCACGCGTTGTTACATAGTGAAAGCTAATAACAACACCTCCTCTTTGTATTTGCTTCATGGTTTTAACGCATCGAACGGGAATACTGACAAATTAAAATATCAAAATCACAATAACATAAAAACAAACTAAAAGCGATTGTCTAGTAGTTTTCACCGGTATTGTAACAGTTACTATATTCTATATACTGTTAGAATATTGTATATTAAATAGAATAGCTTGCCGTGTAGTGGCGGTCAAGAATATCCACTACCCCATATCCTCCCGTGGGTGTCGTAAAAGGCGACAAAGGGAAACAGCCAGGAGATGGGCAGCAGCATCTTCCTGATAATAGCCAAATTACAATAAAAAACTGCGGTTACCAACCCGCTCGCCAAGCGTGGCAACTATGGCAAATACCCCCCAATGATGACAAATTTGGAATAGGGCAACGGAACCCAAGGGGCCAGCAGCTGGCCGACTTCATGGAGAAAGAGGGACTCTTTATGATGAACTCTTTCTTCCAGAAGCGGCCCCACAGGAAGTGGACCTGGTCGAGCCCCGACGGTTCCACAAAAAATGAGATTGACTTCATTATGACGACCAGACGACAACTGTTCAGTGATGTCTCCGTGATCGCGAGGGTGAAAACCGGCAGCGATCACCGAATGGTTAGAGGCACACTGAACCTAAACGTTAAGTTGGAGAGGTCTCGTCTAATGAAGTCAACGCTCCGTCCCCCTCGTGCTCTGTTCCAAAGTCCCGAAACCTTTCAGCTCGAGTTACAAAACCGTTTTCAGTGCCTGGAAGACTGCAATGAAGTGGACGATATGAATGACAAGCTCGTGGAAACTGTCCATGCGGTTGGAGCTAAGTTCTGCAAGACCCGCCGCAGAAGAACACAAAAACTCTCCGATCACACTCTTAATCTCATGGCTGTTAGACGGGAGATGAAGCTACATTCTTCAACAGACTTGACAGCATACAGGCATCTGAACAGACAGATCTCCAAATGCATGCGGCGGGACTTACGCAACTTCAATACAGCTCGTATTGAAGAAGCGATCGAGCGGAACCAAGGCTCCAAAGTCTTTGCCAGAGATCTGTCTGCCAGAAAGAGCCAACTGTCAAAGCTGAAGACAGAATGTGGCAGCATCGTTTCCGGGACACCTGAGATTTTGAGTGAGATTGAGAGGTTCTATGGGCAGCTGTACACATCATCGTTGGAGCCACACGCAAGTGTGAGTAACGATCCAAGAGCGAGTCTCATCCGACACTATTCCGAAGATATCCCAGATGTCAGTCTGAGCGAGATTAGGATGGCTCTCCAGCACCTTAAAAACGGTAAGGCCCCAGGCGAGGATGGAATTACAGCGGAGCTTCTGAAAGCGGGTGGAAGACCGGTACTTGAAGTCCTTCAGAAGCTCTTTAATTCCGTCCTCCATGGTGGCATTACACCGGAGGCGTGGAGCAGAAGTGCGGTGGTCTTGTTCTTCAAGAAAGGTGACAACGCTCTCTTGAAGAACTACAGACCGATTTCCCTTCTGAGCCGCGTCTACGTGCTGTTTTCGAGAGTCATTACGAATCGTCTCGCGCGCAGACTTGACGACTTCCAGCCTCCCGAACAAGCCGGTTTCCGAAAGGGCTTTAGCACCATAGACCACATACATACCCTTCGGCAAGTTGTACAGAAGTCCGAAGAGTACAATTTGCCACTATGTCTGGCGTATGTGGACTATGAGAAAGCCTTTGATTCCGTCGAAATTTGGGCGGTGCTGCAGTCCCTTCAGCGGTGCCATGTTGACTGTCGGTATATCGAAGTGTTGAAGTGCTTGTACAGTAGGGCTACGATGGCTATCCGAGTACAGAACCAGAATACGAAACCTATCCAATTGCAGAGAGGTGTAAGACAGGGTGACGTCATATCCCCGAAACTCTTCACCGCTGCATTGGAAGACGTTTTCAAGCTTCTGGACTGGAAAGGATACGGTATCAACATCAATGGCGAGTACATCACTTACCTTCGATAATTATAAAATATTTAAAAAATATTCACATAACATGTTCCTGGGAAAAAACTGAATCTACCTGCCTTTTGTTGGATTTTAATTCAAATGTAAAAAATCCCAGGTGACTCTAATGATAAACTCCCCAAGAATCAGATCGGAAAGTTGTATTTCCGAGTTATGATCTTTGGAGAAAATTATTTTCTGCCATGGACAGTTTCCGCGGAATTTCTTTTTTAACATATTGTTAATATAAACAGGTACATAATTAACTAAGTATATACCTACCTTTTTATATTTTATATATTTTATAAAATGTTTTGATGGGTAAATAAAAAACGGGAACACGGAGTATATAGTGGCTGTTCTATTTTACACATAATAATACTTTTGATAATTACAAACATTTAATAATTAATAATTAAATACATTATAGAAGTTTATTTTAAAATTTTACTTAAATATGAATGTAAACTTAATAATTTAAGTAAGGAAATGAATGAACAAATGAATGAATATACTTTTATTGTACAGCACGAACAAATATACAAATGACATAACAAAAAGCAGATGATATGTTCAATTTGGCGGTCTTATCGCTACATAGCGATCTCTTTCATGCAACCAAAGGTGTAAAGGAATAAAACCATGAATAAAACTAGGAAACTTGTGGGAATCAGTAAAATAAGATTGTTCAAGACATTACGATTTACCATAATTATAAGGCTTCTTTAGTTGGGTTTGGATTCTCGGGTTCACTCACCGCGCAATTAGCGGTCAGTCTATTTTTACTTATTGAAAATTATCCACTTTATTCTCTATAGTATTCTGAGCCTGAGAAACAATAACTGGTTTTTCTTGATAATTGCCCATAGTAAAAATTGTAAAACTTTTAGCACTAATGCTTCTGCAAAGGAAATATTTCAAATGAAACGAAATACATTATAACTAAACTAACTACCTAAACATAAATGAAACTGCAGTACACGCAAAATAACGCAAAATACAAAACACAATACATCTAAAATTACATTCAATTTGTATTTGTAATGTAACTTGAATAGTCTGAATGAAAATATTCTGCACCTAACAATGCAAATAATACTTTGACATCCATACTAGCTAACTTGAATATTATTTAAACATGTAATTATATTGCATATATAATACATTTTATGTTAACACTAACTTATATTAAATCGTGAAGGTAATTTAACAATGCGACCACTTCGCGTTGTTTTCACGCTTATCGGGTTGCTAGGGCCGGGCGACGACGATGTCACCGGTGTGGGCGGCGGTAACGCGAACCGTACATGCGCAGGCACCACATCCGCTGCGTTGTCAGCGTTACTGTCGCTTGGCGTTATTATGTTACCATCGCATTCCTTTAACACATATGCAGGCTTTAATCTGTCAATAGAAATATGTACCTGCCTATCGGGTAATTGAATTAGGTAAACTTTTGAAGCCCTTTTTATCACGCGATATGGACCGTCGTAGGGTGGTTTCAAAGGTTTACGTATTGAATCGTCCCGAACAAAGACATATTCACAGTTACGTAAGTCTTTGTGCACAAAAAAACTTTGACAGTTACGTGAATTGTCGGATGTAGGCTTATAACTACGAATAGTATCTCTAATCTTATCTACTAAACAATAGTCGTTGACATTACAGTTGTTCGAAGAATTGCCATAAAAGTCTCCTGGTAGACGTAAGTTTCGTCCGAAAGTTAACTCGGCGGCGCTAACCCCTGAATCGCTGCGGCCGGCCGCGCGAAGCCCCAGTAATACCGTGGGTAGCTCTTCCACCCAAGATCCATGTGACAGGCGAGTCGAAAGTGCTGTCTTTAAAGAACGATGCCAACGTTCGACTGCGCCATTGCTTTGCGGGTGATAAGGAGTAGTTCGAATTCTTTTAACCCCCAACATTTTTAACAGCTGGTTAAAAAGACTACTCTCAAACTGGCGACCTTGGTCGCTAGTTAACTTCATCGGGCAACCGTAACGACAAATCCAACCCTCATATAAATGTTTGGCAACAGTTTCTGCCGTAATGTCGCGTAACGGAAATGCTTCGGCCCACCTAGTTCTCCTATCAATTATCGTGAGTAAGTATCTATAACCATCTGGTGAAATCTCAAGAGGGCCAACGATATCGATGTGCACATGCTCGAAACGATCTACTTCCGAAAACTTAGTCAAATTCGATACCGTATGTCTGTTAACTTTAGAACGTTGACATAGTATGCACGTTTTTGCCCATAAAGAAACATCGCGATTCATACTCGGCCAGAAATACTTTTTAAAAATTATTTCTAAATGCTGCCTGTGTTGAACTTCGTTGTCACTAGCGATAAGTAAATCATCTAAATAACAAAAGACAAAATCAAGCCCTTGTAAAATGGAATCCATAAAGCGCTGGAAGGTTTGCGCTGCACCCCTTAAACCGAAGGTCATTCGGGGAAACTCGAAAAGCCCAAATGGTGTTATGATAGCGGTTTTCTCCACGTCACCTAGCGCGACAGGTACACGTCGGGGTCACCAGTTTAGGAGCTGTCTCCATATGCGTCTCTACGGGTGACCATAATGAAAGATTGCATAACTTAATGACATATTTATTGTAGAAGAGCGTGTAATACAGTTGACGGGCAACTAGCTACTGTCTGACTGACTGAAAATCTTAGTACTAAGTAGTGAGGTACAATATTATTAAGTATACATATATATGGTAGCTAGATACAACATTACTAATTATGCATGTGTGTGCGCAGCACACCTACATGCCTCGTTTAGAAGCACAACACGTGTCGTATTATCAACGGTGGTTTGTCTTTCTTAGCAGATCTTAATTAATTAATTTTAATCATCTTTAATAAAATAAATTCCTGGAAAGTAGAGCATGTTTCTATTGTAGTGTGTGCTTATATATATGTAGGATAGAATAAGAGAGAGTTAGTATTAAACCTACCGTCTAGACTATTGGACGTTTTATTTACTCCCCGAACCACCCAACACTACATGGCGACCCTGCCAGTTCATCGGCGGTCTGCCTGGGTTCGGTCGCGGGCCGCGTTTTAAAAAAAAAATGTGTGTCGTTCTGAAGTCAAGAAAGACCAAGTATTTATTACGCAAGACACTTCAGGAGGCTCAAATTCTGCACATGTAGAAGAAATTAAAAGCCACCTGTCTGGGATATCCGTCGTGCTGATTATAATATGCACAGTTTTGGGCTTGGCTCTTCTCTATGGTGTATACAAAATATACAAAAGTTGCCATACAAGCTGGATGCGGAATGAGATGGTAATGCACAATTTGCGTCGTTCTTTTGTGCGATCACCGGACCCAGGACCTCGTGTACCCCGTGTATGCTGTGAGTGCCGCCATGAGGACCGCCGGGAGACAACGAAAGCGTCAAGTTGAAAAAATGAGGTTTAAATTGAAAAATATGTTATAGGTTAAGTTTAAAAAAAAGGAAAAAAAAAAATAATAAAAATAGCCTTATATGTATGCCTTAAACCTTAAAATATTTTGACAACGATATTTCTTTTTAACTGTACTTCCATGTCTAGTGAATTAATAATAATATATGAAAAATTTAAAAATATTAAAAATAATTTAGTTAAATTAAGTTATGATAAGCGAACTAAAAGCATTTTGCAACAAAAACTTAAGGAATCAGTACAATTACGTAAAGAATTTGATGATTGTTTGATAATTTTAAATAAAGAGATAGAAAGTAAACAAATTAAAAGTAATGCATTAATTGAAATACAATCATATTGCGATTTAATTAAGAGTTTATATGGACAAATAGAAAACTTTTGTAGTAAGGATTACAGCTCTCAATCAACTTCCAAGGGCACTATTCAAAGCGAAATATTCACCATGGAAAGTTTCGACTTTAAAACTGCTGTGTCACTCCTGCCAGTGATGACGGGCGAGGAATCGGTCACCAAAACCTTGATGGACTCGATAGAGTTATATAGCTCTTCGCTTAAAGAAGAAGGTAAGTCTATGTTAATAAAATTTGTGTTAAAGACTCGTTTGAATGAAGGTGCTAAGTTACGCTTATTAGATTCCTATGACTCATGCGAGGCGCTTATAAGTGATATGCGGAACCACCTTTTAACAAAGAAATCTTACACTTCCATTCATAACGAACTAATGCAAATAAGACAAAATAGTAGTTCCCTAGATAATTATGGCAATAAAATCGAACAATTATTCGTAGATTTGACGATTTCCCAAGCCGATGGTGACCAAAACGCGCATAAAATTTTACGTCCTATAAATGAAAAGATCGCTATTAAAAGTTTCACAAATGGCTTGCGAAACCGACAACTCAGTATTATTTTGTCAGCACGCAATTATAGTACGTTAAAAGAAACAATTAGAGCTGCAAAGGATGAGGAGACATCTAGTGTTCGACCTAGCGAGTACACCGAACCATCGATTTATTTCGGAAATCGAGGTGGTTCAGGAACGCGTAAAAATTTTCGTGGTAGGTATACATCCAATAATGTACCACGACAAACATATCCTTGGCATACCCAAGCAAAAAATAATGTGAATTGGAGGAAACCGGTACCCCAAAAGTTTTCGTGTGGAAATCAACAACACCGCGGGAAAAAAGGTAATTATGGTGAGTACTCATACCAGAATCGCGGATCTTTTCGTGGTCAAAATGCCCAGCGACTTCATTTTATAACACCAGAATATCGCGTATCGCAAAGTTCTCAAAATATTGAAATTAACCCTAATAACGATAATAGTGAAAATAACCTAGAATTTTTTCGAGACCAATAATATATTTAGTTGCGAATATAGTAATTGTGTTGAGTTAGCAATAGATGGTATCAAATGTAGATGGCTCGTAGATACCGGCGCTTCTTTATGTGTGATTAAATATGACACGCTTAGTAAACTAAACATTTCATTACAAAAGAAACCGATTACAATAAACGGAATTGGAGGCAAATTACGAACCGTGGGATTTGTTGATTTAACATTGTCTGTTGACGGGCTGAAATTTAATAATAAGTTTCATGTTATAAAGCAGTTGCCGTGTGAAACTTCTGGAATTTTAGGTATAGATTTTTTACGTAAATTTAATTGTAACATAAATTTTGAATTGAATACTATTACACTACATAATATGAATGAATTAGTAACTTTGCCATTGCATATGGGTATTTTGGGAAATAATAATTATTTGAGTATACCTCCGAGATGCGAGAATTTATTTTATATCAATGCGAGTATGATAGAAGATTGTGTTGTCTTTCCGAAAGAGTTATGCGAGGGAGTATTTCTGTCTGGTGGAATTGTCAAAGCGAATAACGGGAAAATATCAATAAAAATATTAAATACACGAGAGGATCCGGTCAATCTTAGTTATTTTAGACCTGAAACCGATAGTTTACATAATTATTCAATTTGTAAGTTTGATAAAAGTCTCATTGATTCCGAACGCGTTCATAAAATGTTAAATTTATTAAATTTGGATCATTTAAATAAAGAGGAAAAATCTTCTATTATACATATTTGTGCAAAATTTTCCGACATATTTTTATTGCCAGGAGATCAATTAACAACTTGTAACTTATATGAACATAATATTCAGTTAAAACCTAATATTGACCCAGTGTATGTAAAACAGTATCGATTACCCTATTCTCAGAGGAACGAAATAGAAACACAAGTCAAAAATATGTTACAAGACGGAATTATTGAACCAGCTTGCAGTGAGTGGTCAAGTCCTGTGCTTCTTGTACCCAAAAAGCCAGAAAATGGTGAGGACAGGAGCTGGCGCTTGGTTATCGATTTTCGAAAATTAAACAACTGTATTGTAGATGACAAATTTCCGTTACCCAATATTACAGACATATTAGATTCCTTATCAGGAGCAATGTATTTTACCCACCTTGATCTCAATCAAGCTTTTTACCAATTAAGCCTTAATCCATCTAGTAGAAGGTATACGGCTTTCACTACACCCTCTGGTCAATATCAGATGACCAGAATGCCAATGGGCTTAAAGACAAGCCCAAGTTCCTTTTCTCGTGCTATTACAATATCCATGGCTGGTTTAAATTACGAAAAAGCGCTCACTTATTTAGACGACCTCATTTGTTTTGGCAGAAACTTAGATAATCATAATAAAAATTTAATAGAAATATTATCACGCTTAAGAAAAGTAAACTTAAAGTTAAACCCGAAAAAATGTGTTTTTCTAAAAAAAGAACTTCTTTATCTTGGCCACATTGTTTCTTCCGAAGGTATTAAGCCTGACCCAAAAAAGATATCAGTATTACAAAATTACCCAATTCCTCAAAATACCAACGATGTAAAAAGACTAGTAGCGTTTGCGAATTACTATCGAAGATTTATACCAAAATTTTCTGAAATCGTTTTACCTCTAAACAATTTATGTCGCAAAAATGTTAAATTTCATTGGAATAAAAACTGTAAACTATCTTTTTCAACGCTTAAAAATGCTTTAACGACTCCTCCCATACTTCAGTACCCAAATTTTGACCAAAATTTTATTTTAAAAACTGACGCGTCTGACGCGTGCGGCTAGCATATGCAACTGGACGACCGGTTGCATATGCTAGCCGCACTTTAAACAAAGCCGAGAAAAACTATCCTACTATCGAAAAGGAATTATTATCGATAGTATGGGCAGTAAAATACTTTCGACCTTATTTATATGGACGCGAATTCATTATTGAAACGGATCATAAGCCTCTCGTATATTTATTCAACATGACAAATCCGTCAAGTAGACTTACGAAGTTTAGGTTATTGCTTGAGGAGTATAAGTTTGTTATCAAGTATGTAAGGGGAGCTGACAATGCAGCTGCAGATGCTTTGTCACGCATCCAAATTTCGAGTGAAGATTTGAAAGAAATGAATGAAAAGGTCATATCTGTTCTAACAAGAGCGCAAAGAAAGCGAATAAAAAACAAAATTGCGCAAGATAAGCGTGACAACCCTACGGAGGATAAGGTTACCACCAACGATTGGACTGATCACCCAAAAGTCGTGGGAACACTTAAACAACCGAAGGATTGCACTGAATTATTATTTGTAGACGAAAAAGAATGGAAAAAGATAGACAGAATGAAAGAAAAGTTCTATTCTAACTCTAAGTTATTTTGTTTTGTCTCAGCAAAGTCAACAATTTATGTAAATCCTTCTTTCCGATCATATTGTGCACGAGATGCCTTTGTGAGGGAGTTGGATTGCTTTTGTAATAAGCGAAAGATAGATCGTCTGTA